CGCGGACAGCGAACCCGACGATGAACGAAGATCACGTTCGCGTCGTCTTAGTTTATTCTGAACGATTTTATGTCGCGATCGAGAGTAATAAATAGAGTAAAAATAATTTAATTTAGATCTCATCATTCAGTCGTACTTAATATTATTATGTATGAAGGAACATACTGTAAATTTTTAAATTAGAATGGATATATCTGACGACGTAAATATATTGAAAATTCTCTTTGAAGAAGATGATGATGACGTTTTGTTCTTGTATTTGTCAGAAAAAAAAGAAAAGGCCAAGATAAATTATTTACAAAGAGAAGTACGGAAGGTAATTATAAAATACTAATCAACAGTCATTTGAAAAATAATGAAATCAAATTTAGAGAACCTGCAGTTAATCATAAATGAGTATCATATCATAACTGTTTTCAAAATAACAAATTAATCACGGCGCGAACGCAATTGGATTGCTTTTGAAGCAGTCAGTTCACGTTCGCGCCGCGATCGAATTTAGATCGCTGACCGCGATCGCACAGGGGAAACCAACGCTATTTATTTTACATTGTATCAGCAGCCGCGCGATCGAGACGCGCAATCTTGGATCACGGTTCGCGTTCGCGATCGCGCAAGGGAAACCGTACCTTTAAACAGTGGTCGAAATGACTTAAGATAAGTGGAGGGATGCCTTATAAATCAGATTTCCTGATATCATCATAATATTCTTCACACCTTGTGGTACTTAAAATTATCTTAGGCCGCGGCTCTAAATACGAGTACTATACGAGTTGCGAAACGGCTTATACTAAACAACACGACAAGCCGGGCGCCCGGGCCTGAATGTTAAAAACAATTATTTTCACTGAAAAAAAATGTCTTATATATAAATATAAAAATGATAAGTATATCATTTTAAAATACAAGTCTTAGGAGGAATGCGTTATTCTAGACAAAACAAGATGAAAACTGTAAATACAAAAAAGTAGAGGGATGCCATCTCTCCGTATCCCCCCACTCGGGGTCGACCCAAGCAAAAATAGTGCACTAGGCAAAATAAAATTTTGATTATTCGGTATGACAAGGTTGTTTTGAAGGATGGGACGTAATCTTTTCAGGAGAGCCTTTTCGAAAAGTTTACCATGAACTGGAAGTAAACTTATGGGACGGTATAATGAAGATAACTGTTTAGGTTTATTTGGTTTGTGTACAAGTATATTAACTGCAAATTTCCAGATTTTTGGGAAGTGGGACATTCTTAGCATAGAATTATGAGCAATGATAAAGTTTTGAGAGACAGATTTTTCAGAATTTTGTTTGTAATGAGGTCATTTCCAGGTGCCTTGCTAGGAGGTAATTTTTTAGTTATATTCTGAATTTCACCAGGAGAGATAGGTTTTGCAGATAGCGATATAGGTAGCGAAGCTAATAGAAATTGTAAAATTTCAATAATTGTGTCGTTTTCGGGATCGGTGCACGAATGAGGCTGGAATGTTTCAGCTAATTGAGAAGCAAAAATGTTAGCTTTGTCTTTATCTGTAATAGCTAATTGACCATTTTCTTGTCGGAGAGGTGGAATTTTTTCTCTGTATCTGGTGAGCCTTTTTGTTGATTTTCAGAGAAAGCAGTTATTTGATTGTACAGATTTCATATATAATTGAAATTGTTCCGATTTGTGGATCTGTAGTTTATATTTCAAAAGATTTGTTAAGAAATTTAAATTTTTTTTATAACTAGGCAACCTTGTACTTTGCCATTTAGCTCGAGCATAAAGTTTATTAATTATTAGCTGTTTTATGTCGGCAGGTAAGTTTTTGGAAGAATTTGAGATGGGTGGGTTAATAGGTGATGAAACTTTGATGACTGCTTGCTGGATTGTTCGAACTATTCCTTCGGCAGCATTGTCTATGTTAGAACGGGTCTTAAGTGCTACTTTTAGAATAATAGTTTAGTCCAGATTAAATTTTAATTTGTCCCAGTTTATTAGTCCATTAGTTAAGGAAGGTCTAGAGTTTAATAGAACATTGCCAGTTATTGATAAAAGTATGAGAGAATGGTCGCTTGATAGATCACAGATATTTCCGTTGTAAGTATTTAAGTGATTGAGGATTGTGGTAATAAAGAAATCGAGTGTTTCGGGCAACCTATTCACATGAGTTGGCCAGTTTGTAGGATTTTGTGCGGAAATGAATGATAAATGGTTTTTGAGAGTGTTTGGAGTTAAAGTCACCACCAGCTATGAATGAATGACCTAAAAGTTGAAAGAACCTATTGAATTCCTTGAAATCAATTTTGTAACGCGTTGGGTAGTAGTTAGAGGCAATTTTAATCGGTATATTTTTTATTTGTATGGAAATAATTGTTGCTTGTACATGAGGTTCTTGAAAGCCTAGTAGTTCATAGTGTTTTATATCGGAAGAAAAAAGTAGTGCGGTGCCACCATGGGCAGAACCATCAGGATGGTCGATTTTGTATAGTAAGTATCCAGGTATATTAAAGTATTTTTTTTTGGTAAAATGAGTTATGAGGGCTAAGTGGATTTTTTTTCATAAAGTAGATTTTGCAGTTCTTTTTTGTGATGGGACACACCATTTGTATTCCATAAAAGTATTGATAGATTAGAGACGGTTAATCATTTTTTAGGAGAACTTTGTATATTACTGTAGTAAGTAGTGTGATTAGAGGGTTAATAAAAGATTTAAGCTCACATATAAATGAGCTAAGTTGATTCGTTAAATTTAAAGAATCATTATTGTTATGTTGGGGTGGTTATTAGTTTGTAGGTTTTGAGCGGCTATAGAATACGTTTTTTGTGTATTATTTTGTTTATTTTGACTTTCGTATTTAGATGTATTACCAATGGGTATTTGTACATTAGTTTCTGAAATTATATTATTTTGATTAGACTTCGCTTTTTTTGTATGAGAGGATTTACGTTTGAATTAGATGTCTTGATAAAAGGGACATTCACGGTAACTAGCAGGATGCTGTCTTTCGCAGAGAACACATTTGGGCGGTTGGTCGAGTGACTTTTGACAATTTATAGTCAAGTGCGATTCACTGCATTTAACACAGCGTGGTTGGTGGTTACAATATTTTTTCGTATGACCGAAATTTTGGCAACGTTGACATTGGATTAGATGCTGAGGAGGACGAGGTTCTTCAACTTTAATTTTTGTGAAACAGATAGAAGATAGCTTAAAAATTTCAGAGTTGTGTTGGTCAGGTTTCAGATCCACGAAGAAAAGTGGAAGAGGTTTTTTTGTTTGCCATTGGAGAACATTGACTACTTGGACTGCTGTGTAACGATGCACTTCAAGTTCTTCTTTTATGTAATTTATATCAGTTGTATGATGAAGATTACGGATAACCACACGAAATGGTTTTTCTTGTCGAAGTTGATATGTGTGGAAATTGACATTTTTTTCTTTTAATAAGCGTATTAAATTTCTGTGTCTGGTAGAAGTGGACGTTTGAAGTTTTAATTAATTTAAATTGCTTTTGCATGTAAAATCATTTGAACCAATTGCAGTTTTTATTGCGTTGCGAAAACCATTATAATTTAAACTTGATTTTATAAATATGGGCGGTGGAGTATGTGTTTCGATTTCGGTTTTAGATAAATTAATATTTGGTTGAACAGTATCCATATTATTCGTTTCATCGCCAAGAGGATTTAACACGGTGAACTTAGTTAGTGATTTAAGATGGGTTGCTGCTGATTGTTTTTGTTTAATAGATAAGCTAATAGAGGATTTAAGTTTTCAATATACATTAGGTGATTATAATAAATAAATATAGAATGTGATACATTGGGTTATCATTCTAAAATTTTGAATTCTTATTTATTGATGTGCTTTGTGAATTTGTGAATTTTAAAATATGTTTTAATATACATATTGATGTATATTTGAACTGATAGATGAAAAAGGGTCGGAAAAAGAAACCATTAACAAGTGTCTGACATGCTAAAAAAATGGAGCAATAAATCTCAGTCTTCTTGGGACCTAAAAATTGTAGTTGCGACACTGGTCATGCATATTTATAATAGACTTTCTACCGCTCAAAATATATATTCTGAAAACAAAATAAAAACTTTAGAATTGAAACATACATTTCATGTAAAGAGTGAAGATGGTATATCTTAATATTACAATGTAACAAACAAAATAATGTAATTCATTTATTATAAATTTATAATTGATGATAAAATTATATTTATAATAATTTTACTTTTGATAACAACAAAATTATAACGACGGTGTTGGTCTAATCGACTGCATATATACAGGACCCATAATAAATTGTTCATTATCATAGAATTATTATTATATAAAGCTTGGCTATAATAGACAGGGTCGGAACTAGGGAGTAGCAATTGCGAATTCATCCCCAAGTGTAAAATTATAGAGGGTGTAATTTTTGTAATTATTGGCAACTAATTTGATATTTTTTACTTCGTTAAATACTGTTATTAGTTTAAAACTCAATAAATATGATTGTATATTAATTATTAGAAAAAATTCTAAAAAGAGTAATTGATTATTGGTCTATGATAAGATGTAACTTTAACATTTTCCCCTGACGTAAAATTTCCTATAAAAAAATATTAATTTTTTTAAAGTTGATAATCTATAAGTTATATCTTTAATCGTGATTGGGATACTGAGCAATATTATTCTGCGAACAGATTCGTATTTTATAGTCTATGTGTACATGCTGTTTACTTGTTAGTGTTTTAATCATGATTTATGATTATTATTTATTAGTAAATGCGACATCACAATTATTTGTAAATCACGTTTTCGTTATGTACCTACCGGCTGTTGATGAGTATAATGTACGAGGTCTAGCTATTAAATAACGAGACTGCCCGTATATAAGGGGTCGTAGACGGGTGGGGAAAAAAACTATTAGTGCGTTGGGTATCTAAATATCTTATCTGTGCACTTATCAAAATACGTTTTAGTCACTATTTTAGTATTTGTGCAGTAGTAGTTAGAAACGAACGTGTTTTTTTCTCGTGCCGAAAACCATGTGTGACGAAAAACAGGAGCAACGTATCAATCTCAAATTTCTCGTTAAATTGAAAAAAACTCCGACTGAGTGTTATAAATTGTTGCAAGAGGCCTATGGGGACAATTCTCTATCTCGTGCACGTGTTTTTGAGTGGTGTAAGCGTTTTAGTGAGGGCCGAGAGAGCAATGAAGATGACCAGCGCCCAGGTCGCCCTGTCACTGTTTCAACTCCGGAAACAGTGACTAAAATCAACCAAATTGTGCGTGCAGATCGTCGAAAAAGCATCCGAATGATTTCCGAGGCTGTAAACGCCGATAAAGAAACGGTTAGAAAAATTTTACATGAGGAATTACACATGAAAAAAGTCTGTGCGAAATTGGTGCCAAAAAACCTGACGCCTGACCAAAAGCTCTTGCGTCAACAGGTCTGCTCATATTTCCTTGAAAGGTTAGAAGAAGATCCCGAACTGATGAAAAACATTATTACTTGCGACGAAACGTGGATTTTTCAATACGATGTTGAAACAAAGCGGCAATCGATGCATTGGAAGACGCCTGAATCGCCCAGAATCAAAAAAGCAAGGATGTCCAAATAAAAATTCAAGGCAATATTGATCGTTTTTTTTTTACTTTAACGGTATTGTGATGACTGAATGGGTTCCAGAGGGTCAGACTATCAACCAGACTTACTATTTATCAGTTTTAGCAACACTGCGAGAACGAGTTCGTAAGAAACGGCCCGAGTTCTGGAAGAACAACTCTTGGATTTTGCACCAGTACAACGCACCTGCCCATAAATCGTTATCTGTGAAGCAGTATTTGGCCGGTAAGCGCATTCCAGTGCTCGAACACGCGCCGTATTCACCAGATTTGGCACCGTGTGACTTTTTTTTGTTTCCAAAGATAAAATCTGCTTTGAAAGGGACCTGATTTGAGTCGATGGAAGCGGTAAAACAAAAAACGGCAGAGCTCCTAAAGGCCCTTACCAAAGACTTCCAGCATTGTTTCAATCAATGGAAAAAACGTATGGAAAGGTGTGTGGCGAGGGGTGGGGAGTATATTGAAGGGGAGCATTCGAATGTAGAATAATTTTTATTATAAAACCATTTTTCGTAACCAGTCTCGTTATTTAATAGCCAGACCTCGTATTATATTATGTTCATCGGTTCATCGAGTAATTTACATTTTTTTTTTTTTTTTTAAATATCTTTGCATTTTTTTTTCAACTAATCGTTGAAATGTATTAAATTAATGCCTTCAGTTAATTTAACCATTAAGAGAGTGATAAGACACTTGGTAGTCTGCACGCCATGATGCTTGTCTGTCTCAAAATTGGAATGAAATTATAAAAGCTTTAAATATTATTATAAATAATTCAACAGAAAAATCAACAACCAAATGTGAAGCCAAAGGTTTGTTGAAAAATCTGAAAAGCTTAGAAATGTATATAATATGGTATACAAACAACATTTTGGAACGATATATTGGAAAAGTACAACTATATTAGTAAAAATCTGCAGTGTTCACATTGATTTAACAAAAGTTATGTACTTGTACAATTTATTAATATATGATATTCAAGACTTACGAAGTAGTTTTGCATATTATGATAAATCTAAAAAAAATCTGGTTTAGATAAGTACAAAATTGAACGAAAAAGAAAAAGGATAATGCTTGATGGAGAATCAAATCAATATAATTCAACATTTCAACAAAACGATTAATTTAGAAAAAATACTTTTACAGTTATATTAGATTCATTACTTACTGAGCTAAACAAAATAATGATACAGTTAATATAATATTTGGTTTTTTTTCAATCTTACTTAACTGCCAATATCCAAGATTAAAGAACAAGCAATGAAATTGAAAGTAGAATATCAAGAAGAGCTCGGTTCATCATTCTCAAATGAATGTATTCATTTTCGTAGTCATTTATCTGGATTAGAAGATAATAATTTGACGATAACTGTTTTAGACTTGTACAAAATATTTAAAGATCCTAATATTTCTAGTTTGTATCCATATATTGAAATAGCATTACGTATGTATGGTATTTATGTAGTCCGGTATCAAATTGTTCAGTGGAATGATCCTTTAGTGCATTAAATATAATTAAATCCTACTTAAGATCAACTATTGAAAATGACAAACTAAATTCGTTGGCTTTACAGAGTATGGTATCAGAAATGATCAGTTCCTGATACCAAATATAAGAAGTAATTGAAGAATTTTCTCTACAAAAAGCTCGTCGTAAAAATATATAATCGTAATTTAAAATCTTGTTTATTTTTATTTTCTTATTATAACCTCTGCATATTACATTCCTATATCTATATATATATGTATATATAATTAATTTTATTCCATTTTCATATAATGTAGAAAAAAAAGTAAAAGCTAAAAATATGTATATTGGGGTATCATTTTTAATGACAAAAAGTAAATTTATAATTAGAGGTAACTCAAAGCTTTTTTTGAGGCTAAACACCCTAAAGGGTGCCAAAATGTTGCACCTATAGCGTCAAAATAGTAAATGCACTTCTGACCGAACTATTTATTAAATCAGTTTCTTCGTATCATTCGTGCTGTGCTGTCATGTGTGTTAAATTTATGATTTCGGTGTATATAAATATTAATTCATATTTTGAATAACCTTTTTTTCCTATGATTTGGCACGCTAGATTTTAATCTTCGAAAAATTGGCTCTCTAGTAACTTTGAGTTAGCCATCCCTGATATAAATTATAGGTTAATATCATACTTTATTTTATATAAATAAGCGAACTTCAGTTATCAAGAGATAAGGAACTTACTATAAAATTTTTTTTTAACAATAACTACTAATGATTATATTAAATAAGAAGTTATAATTAGCAAAGGCTCATACAATTTAAAAAAAAAAGTTATATTTTATTATTATAAATAGTAAATACTATAAATTATGCAAAGTTAATTAAAAAGAAGTAAACACGTTCCTTTTCACATATTACAAATATTTAGAGACCTAAATGAATACATACAATAAGCCAATTTAATATACATATATGTATATAAATATACATCCATATATATAGGTAAATACAATTTAAGTATTACGTTGGAGTATAATACATGGCGTCAATAAAATATCTTGTGATATCACCAACTATGGTTCTATCAGGCAATGTAGCAGACATTCCATACATGGCCATCTAAAAAATAAAAATATAACATTAAACAATAATATTTTCACATTAAATAGCACTCATACTTTTCCAGTTAGTTCAACATTTGGATTTTTTAAAATTTTGTCTAATTCTTGTCTTAAATCATTCACAAATAATGAAGCTACATCAGGCTTGGTATGTAAATGTGTAATACATATATGAATCCTAAAAATTATTAAATATTGATAATATTTTTACTAATTTTAAAACTCAATCTCAAATTATTTAATAAAACTCACCCAATTGGGAATTGTAAAGTATTTAAATTCCAGCCTTTAGTATTTAAGGCATCAGACAATCGATAAATATTAAAAACATTTGACCCTATTGCTATTACAGACGTAGTAGGATTTCCAAAAATAAAAATACCTTCCATACTACGTAATCTATAAATAAAATAAGTGATTTAATATTTCCGTTTTCATTAAAAAAATAATATTAATGCCTTTATTTAATGATACAGATTTAATAATAATCTTGAACACCAACAAACAGTATCGTTTAGTGATAGGCACTACAGAGTAGTGGCGCACAGCAGATTTTTGAAAAGGATGTCGAAAATATATATTTCGAGGTACCCACCCACCCCACCAGTAAAATCTGAGTTTAGGCATAGTATAACTCTTAATTTTAGGTGTTTTTGGTTTTTTCTTTCTAACAAAGATACTATAAATAAATTTTTTTTAAATAAACCTAATATTAATTATTTTTTTAATTTTTTGGGTATTAATTTATAAGTTTGTATGTCATAATTTTTGGGATTGAGCTCTACTACTTATTCTCATACGACGCTTTAGTTCTAGTTACTATGTTGATTTGAATAGCTGAAAAATTGGTTAGTATTAAATTAAACAAATATTCATCCACCAATTCTCTGAGGGGTGTCAGTCGACACCCCTGACCCTTCTTGTGCGCGCCACTGCTACAGAGTGAAAACTATCAACCTATTCAATAGTTTTTAACCATCTATTTATTCATTGTTTTTAATAAATGATTAAATAATTATGTCTAAGAGAAGGTACAACCGACTTGATTGTTTTCTAAAACTATCTATTCATGCCAGTACTTGGCTTAGAAAAAGAATATTAAAGGTACTCTAATGACGTATACAAATTTTTCGGTCCTACTTAATTGAAAACTGAACATAAAACCAGGATCCCAAGGCGTGTGGGTTGTGGCTCGCCTCTGGACCAAACCTAGACGATCAGTGGCGTAGCCAGGATTTTTAAATGGGAGGGGCTATCACTTTTTTGGATAAGTAAGGTAACAGAGGATATGAGAATTCATCTTTAACCCCCCCCCACCAAGTTTTTAAATGTAATTCAAGCATTTTAGTATAGTTTTAAAAATATTTATTAATATATAATTTATAATAATAATAATAATAATTTTGGTTTCAGTGTTCAGTCACTTGCTCCACTCTGACAGCTGCATCCTCTTAGGCGAATTTCTGGCAAATTCAATTATTAGTTCACTTTAATCGAATTGCTCTTTTTTATTTATATTAGCCATAGCTAACACATTCAGTCTGTTTTCCGATATGGTGCTTCTTATAAAAATTTTTTAAGCAATTAAGTGCAGAAAACGTTCTATTTGAAGTGGAAGAGGTAACTGGTAACGTGGTGAATAATTGTAAAAGTATTTTAATGTTAGGTTGAAGATTGGTGCAATGAGAGAGTGAATCAACAGCAGAATTCGGTTTTTGAATAGTATTTTGACTCCATTGTTGCCTCCGTATGAACAGCTCAGCTCTGATTGTAGATGAGGTATCATCATGGAGATCTTGAGCATATATTTTAGCAGCTTTTATAATATTTTCATCGTCAAACATATTTAAATTGGTCGGAATAAGTCTTTCAAATGGCATAACATCAATAATCCTTTGATTAAAACGAGCATCCATTGATTCTATTAAATAGTCAAGAAAAGGAATAAAAGTAGAACATTTAAAATATATTTCTGGATTTTCAGAAATAAAGTTTTCTATCTGAGTTTGCCTTTTACATACTTGTGGCATTTTTATTTCAATATTAACACTTTTTCCCATGTTGAAAACGTAATTAAATATTTGATAGTGACTCGCCACAACCTTGCATGATAACTAGGGCTCGGATTTATATGTATTAAAAAAACCAAAATATATAAATATATATGTAATAATAAATCACTTTATATGTGATTAAAAAATGAAAATATGGAATACAAAAAAATTACAAAAATATAAAAAATGTCTTTATAAATTACATTATTAACTAATTTACTTATTTTACTACTATTATTCATTATTCATTTTGATTATCTTGGTCTTGAAAGCAATGAGATACCATATACATGCTCAAATTTTCAAAGTTAAATGATCTACGATTTGGTCGTAACACAGATTTGTGCCGACTAAAGGAGCGCTCGACTTCCACCGAGGTAATGGGTGCAAATTTCATATTTGCAATGTCCAAAGCAATGAGTTCAGCCGGAAATATTACCCCATTCATTTCGCAATGTGCATCTCTAATTAATTTTAGGCAGTCTAAACCAGGATTTTTATGTAATACGCTGTGCATTTTTTCTTTTACTGCAACTCCCAAGGGTCCTTGTACTTGTTCTATGCATTTTTCAGCTTCTTCTATAAGTCCTAAACTTTGAACTTTTTTTTTTTTTATTACTTTATTTATATTTCCACAATCTGTTACATAAATTTGAACAATAAGTGAAATTGATGAAATACATAACTATGGCGTGAAGGACGGATTAAAGATACCTTCCAGTGAAGGCACTTTTACAGTTAAATATGAGAAAAAAAAAAAAAAAAAAAAAAGTGTTAAACAATGTTAGAAAATATCATAAGGAAAGATAAGTGGAAATAGCAAAGGTAGATATAGAGAGAAGAACAAAAGAAGTTAGATTGATCTAGACTAATAGGTCCCTACACCACCGCCTTTTCAACCTTTTTTGTGGGTTGCCGGTTATATTTATAGACGCAAGTTCTTTGATTAAAGGATTTTTATGGTTTTGTAGGTTGAAATTAAAACGTCTGTAGAAGGTCTTAGCTACAATTTTGAACTAAAGTTATTTTTTTTGTTTCTAGTTGTTTTATTGTATCTTCTAAAAATCCAAAATTATTAGATATATAAATTAAATTATTTTTAATATCATCTATATTTAATAAATGTTTCGCTTTTTGAATAGAAACTGCTGAAGTAGAATCCAACGTTGATACAACATCTTTTATTTTTTCAAAGTTTTCGCAATAGTATTTGACTGCATTCAACCATGTCCCCCATCTAGTAATTATTGGTTCTGATGGATGACTCAAATTTGGATACATTTCGTTCAGCTTTTCTACACGACTTGGAGCTTTTAAAAATATTTTTTTGACCTCAGCGATTAACTTGTCTACTTTACTAAATTTAGCTCTAATGGTTTCTCCAATTCTATGAAGTCCATGAGCTAAGCATATCAAGTGAATCATCTTTGTGTAAAATACATTAATGGTAACAGCGAATTTCACCATATACGACGCTGCATCAGTTAAAAACAATAATACATTTTCGTGTTTCACACCTTTTGGCCATAATAAACTCATCGAATCGTTAAATAGTTTGACTATGGTTTTGAGGCTGCATTTTTCTAACTGTGCACAATTTAATAAAAATGGTTTAGAAAAGGTTTCACTTAATTTTCCAACAATAACATTTCCAACCATTCTACCTTCAACGTCTACTGTTTCGTCGATCGAAACCCATATAGGGCCATCTTGAATGATGTTTCTAATAGAATTAAGTGTTTCCTGATAAATTTCTGCATGTTATTTTTACTAAGAGTACTTTCGTCAGGAATTAATTGCCCTGTATACTTTGTTAAAAAAGCATTCAATGATTTATTTTCCAACTTGGAGATTTGAATATCCGCATGTATAAAAGCACGACAAAGTTCGGAATTAAACGAGTTTTTATTACCTGAAGAAGTACTGGCGGAAGTAAAAAACTGCTGTTTGAATTTTTGTCGTCTTATTTTACTCTCTTTATGTTTGGCGGTCCCTATATGTTGTACTACTAAAAAACGTTGTTCAATGGAAACAGATTTTTCACACGCAGAACAGTACAAAATATCACCATCACCATCTGAAAATGTTCGTCTGGAAATTCTAGTACATAGTTTTTAGCTTTTCCAACTTTGGACACTCGAACTTTCGGCATAATTTAACACTAACACGGCCAACTCAAAATTACACGTCTAAATAAGCACACGTCCCGTTCGTCAATGTGGGTATACTGACTCGCTGTCAGTACTTCAAACGCAAACACGTATTAATAAATCGTTATCTATCATTTATCGAGGTAACAAATGTCGAATATAATATTATATCGACCGTAGATTACGGTCGATTAGTTCAATAATTTGGTATTATTTTGTTTACGTACTTTTTGAAACATGGGAAATCATATACAACCAGTGGCGTAGCCAGAATTTTTTTTAGGGGAGGGGCACACAGTCTAAAATTTTACCTTATACACTACCTACTACCAAAAAGATAAAAAAAAATTAACCAAATATTTAATGTTTTTAATGAAAATAATTTATTTATATTTTCAGTCAGTTATTAAGTTAATATATATGTACATAATAATAAATAGTAATTTAATAATAAAAACGGGTTAGTCCAAACAAAATTATTAGTGTATAAAAACAATTGTAGATTGTATAAAATTATTTTGACCAATCAACGAATTGCAATTTTATCAAAACGTGATAACGGTAATAATGATTACTGGTAAAACCGCAAAATATTCATTGGTATAAGCATATTATTGCAGTATGCGTTCATGTATACGAATAAATATAAATCTTTAAAATAAAATCTAGTAAATACAGCCAACGAGGGGGGGGCATGGCCCCTGTGGCCCCCCCTGGATACGCCACTGTATACAACTATTAATAAATCGTAAATTGTCGAAATATGTAGGGAAAAATGGAATTATTGAGAAATATGTAAAAATATGTACTTAAGACAAAATATGTAAAAATATATAAAATAAAATATAGTTCACTAGCTGTCCCGACACGGCGTTGCCCGCGTATTAGTTGGTTTTTTGGCATTTTCGTAGGCCATGTATTAGTGTTATTATGTATGAGAAAATTTAAAAGTAATAGGTAAAGTATCTAAATGTTGAAATTAAGTACAAACCAACATATATATTTTCTGAATTTACGTCGTACCGAACTTCGCATTTTATACCTTTGAACATTTCTCGAAAATTCTATAACTTTCTTCATTACAACAATTGCAATGCAAAAAATAATATTGAGATAAAAACCATAGGTTAGGTTAGTTATATAATTCTCGGAACAATTCATATCTACACGCCGCCGACGATAAAACACACACAAT